GCTGAATCCCCCCCCCAACAAGACTAGTTTTTTTTCTCCTCGCAGATAGTTGTGAATTTTTGCGAAACTCCACCCCCCACCCCCCCCCGGACTCGTTGGGGGGGGGGGAATTTTGGGAGTTGAAGTCCATACATCTTAAAGCGGCCAAGGTTGAGAAACACTGATAACATGCTTTTTGAATCACCTCTTTTGAATGGTTTGAACAGCCACTTACTAAACCCGTTGCGTCCAATTTTTCATTTAAAATCTGAAAAAGAAATATTGCAGAACTACTTACATTTTGTCCTTAATCTGAAGAAGATGTATGACTTGCATTAGACCTTAACCATTGTGCAGCTGTCCTTGCTGGCATATTTAATTAATAAAATTAACCATTTCTATGCGATTTGTTCTGCTGAAAATTGTAAAAGGATAAAACTTCAAACCCCGCTTTAGTACTTGATCAGTCTTTGGCTGTTAATGCAAGAGCAGTCTTTCTCTGAGAAAAATTGTTCTGTTGGATTTTTTCTGAACATTCAGAAAGAAATATATTATAGTTCTACAGCCACATTTCTTAAACGAGAAAGCACATAAATGAATGCCCAAGTGTGTTGGACTAGCTCTGAGCTGGGCCTATTCTCAGATGACATAATCTTTTGATGCTCAATAAAGCTTAAAATACAAACCTGCATAAATTATATAATCTGTCCATTTCTTTTAATAAACTTTTAGTAAACTGCCTTCCACGAGCAAAACAGAAAATTGAGTTTAGGTGAGAATTTCCATGCTAACAGCACAGGAACCAACTTTAATTGGTGTAATGTCTTATAATAGGGTTCTTCTGTTCATGTAATATTCTTATGGAAATACTCTCTCTAGGAAATGTGACAAAATGAAATTCACTATAAAATCGATCTATCAGGGATGTCTCTGGGGTTAAACTGAGAATGACATTATAATGAGATTTTAATCTGCCTGAGTTTTATTCTGTATTAATGGGGCATGAGGTTTTCAAATTATCTATTCCAAATCTTGTGAAGGGAAGGCACATATACAATTTATAAATACATGGAATAAAATAATAACTGTCTTCCTCAGAAAGACAAGTGATTTCTACTTTTTACCTCTAGAACAAGATCAACATAATACTCATATCTTGGTTTCATAGCAGGCAGGCAGGCAGGCAGGCAGGCAACTGAGATTTGTCCTCTCTACAGGTTTTGCCCCTTCTTCTCGGGAAGGCACATATACAATTTATAAATACATGGAATAAAATAATAACTGTCTTCCTCAGAAAGACAAGTGATTTCTACTTTTTACCTCTAGAACAAGATCAACATAATACTCATATCTTGGTTTCATAGCAGGCAGGCAGGCAGGCAGGCAGGCAGGCAGGCAGGCAGGCAGGCAGGCAGGCAGGCAACTGAGATTTGTCCTCTCTACAGGTTTTGCCCCTTCTTCTCCCTCTGAAGTTATTTTATAAGACTTTGTCTATCTGCCCTTTTGGCCTTCAACCCAGAGCTCCACAGCCATTTCTAGCTAGTTATTCAGAAGTTCCTTAGAAGTTTGTGCAACCTATGCAAAATGTTTATATCTAATAGCTCCACCCCTGGATCACAATGGAATCTGTTCATTGACACTGTTGGTGTTTCTTCCGAAGGCAATTTTGTTTTCCACATAACCTAATATTACTATTTGGACTATCTTCCTTCTCTGTTGAGCTCAACAAAGACACTTCAGTCACTTCAAATATCCTCCGTGTTAGTTTTTTAATGGAACTGACTAACATGCTCATATATTATGAAGGCCTCAGGAGTATCACCCAATTCCATATCCCTGTTCACCAAACATGCCTTTTCTGATGACTGTCTGATAGCTCACAATACTATTCTTCAGATTTGGTATTGGTGTCAGTGGATTCCTCTATTTTGCTTTTTGTAGATTATATCAAGTTGAGTCTTAACTGTCTACACCTAGGGAAAACTACCTGCTGAATGTTGGCACTAGCTCAGACCCAGATGCAGTTCTGGGGCCATCTTTATGGGCTTCTACTTTCTCATGAGGGACATATCTTGTTTACTGCTATTTATCCATATGTGTGATATAAGAGACCAAAAAGAATAAAGATTTTCACCTTGTTTCTCACCTTTGCCCATTTTAGGTTGTGTGGCCTTAACCTCCAAGATTCCCCCAGCCAGCCAAGCTGGCTGAGAATTTCTGGCAGTTGAAGTCCACACATCTTAAAATGGCCAAGGTTGAGAAACACTGATCTATAACCATGATGCTTCAAAAAGCCCTCTGTATATTAATGCAACCCAGATTTATTCCCTCTTGTAGATGCTTTATTTACTCAGGACCATAGTATGCTGACTGAATAGATGTCCATGTTCATAGAACTGTACCACTGCATGTCTAAGCAAGCATATAATTGCGGGGGGGGGGGGGGG